AGTTCGCCCCCTCACAGTTCGCCCCCTCACAGTTCGCCCCCTCACAGCCGCCGCTCCCCGCCCGCGCTGGGGACACCCGGCCCGAGGTGGGGCCGCCGGGCCGCCCCCGCTCCGCTCCCTCCGGGCGCCCTTCCAGCCCTTCCCCGCGGGCTCCGCTCCCTCAGGGCGGCGCGGGCTCCCTCGTGTAAAATCCCCGAATGATCGTCCTCTCCCATGGAGAGCTTGTTCCTCTGTAATAGGTTCGTATTTTATCCCAAGGCTGTACAGATCCCTCAGTCCTGTATTATTAATATAATAATAATCCATATTATCTGCCAACGCTCCTTTCCCCAAACCCTCCTGCTGTGCTCTCGTGCTGTCTCGGCACACGCAAACTTCCTAAATCCTAATTTTTAAAAGAAAGCTTTTTGCACACCACCACCCCCCTGTCTTGTTTGAAACAGGATTTTCCCCCTCGTGGTCTTTCAGAGAAGGTTTTAACAGAAATTTTTTTGTCTCTGTGACCTCTGAATTTACTTGAGATACTTTTTTCCACCTCAGCATCCCTCCTATTAAGCCTATAAAAGGATATATAAAACCATAGATAAAAATATATACATATATACACACACATGTAAAAATTGTATATATAAATATACAAAGAGCGTATATAAATATATAAAAGTATATAAACTAAGTGTATATAAAAGTATATGCTGCCCTGCAGAGCTCTCTATATTCAAGCAGCATCTGTTCTGTTAAGGCTATACAAGTATATATAAAAGGATATATAAAATAATATAAAAGGATATATAAAATAATATAAAAGCATATATAAAATATATATTAAGGAATTTATAAAAGGATATATAAAATAATATAAAAGGATATATAAAATATATATTAAGGAATTTATAAAAGGATATATAAATTACATATAAAAGGATATATAAACTACATATAAAAGCTTGTGCCACCCTGCAGAGCTCTCTGTATTTAAGCAGCTTGAATTAAGTCTGAGTTGCCTCATCTCTCAAATCCTGTACCCTGAATATTATTTTATAGCCAGATAAATAATCTCCAAGCCAAGTACAACAATTAAAAGGAAAAATAACATATATCCCCAACATCAGCAGGGACTTACCCTCCGATGCCTATGATGTATTTCATTTTGCCGAGTCGCCTCCTTTGCCGGAATGTGGCGAGGACAAAAAAAAACCACGATTTAAAAAGACTGAAACAACTTTCAGAGGAAGGAAAAACTACGGCTGCCCCTGTTCCCTCTTTGCTCTGACTCGGCTTTGCCTCCCTGACTCGTTCATTGAGGGAAAAAGGCGGATTTGGCGCGGATTTATAGGGCCGTGTCCCCGCCCCGGCGCTGATGGAAGAACCCTGTGACCATCATGAGCCCGATGTCACGTTTTGGGGGGGTTGAGCCAGTCCTCGTCCCCACGTCACATCTGGGTCAGCCAACCCTCACCCCGGTGTCACATTCTGGGGGGTTCAGCCACCATCTAATGTCACATTTTGGGGTTTCAGCCACCATCCGATGTCACACTTGGGGGGTGTTCAGCCAACCCTTCGATGCCATTTTTGGGGGTGTTCAAGCCTCACCCTAATTTCATATTTTGGGAGGGCTCATCCAACCCTCTGATATCACATTTTGGAGGAGTTCATCAAACCCTCTGATGTCACATTTTGAGGGGGTTCAGCCAACCCTGCGATGCTATTTTTGGGGGGGTTCAACCCTCACCCTGATTTCATATTTTGGGGGGGGGGTCATCCAACCCTCTGATGTCACATTTTGGGGGGGTTCATCCAACCCTCTTATGTCACATTTTGGGGGGGGCTCATCAAACCTTCCAATGTCCCATTTGGAGGGGCTTCATCCACCTTCTGATATCACATTTTGGGGGGGCTCAGCCACTGTCTAATATCAGATTTTGGAGGGGGTTCAACCCTCTCCCTCTTGTCACATTTTGGGGGGGGTTCCACCAACCCTTTGATACTATTTTTGTGGGGGTTCAACCCTTACCCTGATTTCATATTTTGGGAGGGCTCATCCAACTCTCCAATGTCCCATTTTGGGGGGGGTTCTGCAAACCCTCCAATGTCCCATTTTGGGGGTTCAGCCCCTCTTCCAATGCCCCATTTTGGGGGGGGTTCTGCAAGCCCTCCACTGTCCCATTTTGGGGGGGGTTCAGCCAACCCTCCAACATCCCATTTTGGGGGGATTCTGCAAACCCTTCAATGTCCCGTTTTGGGGGGGGTTCTGCAAACCCTCAAATGTCCCATTTTGGGGGTTCAGCGCCTCTTCCAATATCCCATTTTGGGGGGTTCAGCCCCTCTTCCAGCATCCCATTTTGGAGGGGGTTCTGCAAACCCTCCAATGCCCCTTTTTAGGGCTTCAGCCCCTCTTCCACTGTCCCATTTCGGAGGGGTCGAACCCTCGCCCCGATGTCACTCTCTGGACCTGCACCTGTCCCTCTCCCTCGCCGGCCCCGTGCCGTGACGGGGCCAAAAATAACTTTTTGGCGAGCTCGTCCTTTGCCTAAATTAGTCATTAGGGTAGGTGGAAATGTCACCCCTTTTGACAATTCCCCCCGGGAAGGCTCAGAGGTGTGTGTGGATATAATTAAGTCGCTTTTTTTTCCTCGCTGTCTCTCCCTTCCATTCCTTTATTCCCCAATTCCCATTTGATTATTTGAAACCGAGAAGGAAAATTTTCCTCTAAACTTCTGCTGGGGGGAAAAAATAAAAACAAAAAGGGGGGAGAACTTCATTTTAATTTTATTTTTTTTAATTCCTTTTAGTCAAGCTGTTGGGAGTGTGGAGAGGCTGAGCAGTGAATCCACCCGGACTGTTTCCCTTTGACTCTTTAGGAGGAACTTTTTGGAACAGTTTATTTTATATATATTTATTTGACAAAGCCCTAAAATATTATCTGTCCAACAAATCTCCTCCTCCACAGTTTATTTAAGTAAAGTAAACCTTTTTAAGGTAAGTTCAATCTACCTGAGCTACTTTCTCACCCCCTGCTTTAATTTGAATTATTCCAGCTGCTTCTAAAATTGTCTCAGCAATGCCAAGTGAAGGCAGAGTTACCAACAGCATTTTTTTTTCTCAGGTGTCAACACTTTAATATTTAAATAATATCTTGCCTTCAATCACTCAAATCATTGTGTGCCTTTATAAAATCACTCTATGGCAGGATGAAAAGGCCACTGTTAAAAGTATTAAAGGTTCCTTGTCCTGCAGCGGGTTGGAAAGTAACTATAAAAAATTTAGGAACACCAAAATTTAGGGGGTTTGGGGTCCTGTTGGGTTTCTTTGCAGCTTTGGGGTCTGCAGAGCTGATCCTGGCCCCGTGTCCTTGTCCCAAGGGATGAGTGGGAAGCAGCTGGACCGTGGGGTGAGTTCCCTGTGCCCACAGCAGTGCAGAGATGCTGCTTTAATTCTGATTTTTGGGTAGCACCTCCATCATCTACCCACTGGCTGGGAAGTATTTTGCCTTGAGCTTTTCAGCTCTTACAGTAAAAAATCCAAATATCCAGGATTTCCCCCCTAAGAGTCCAAGGGAAGGGTTTTTAATTCCTAAAAATGCCCCCTCCCCAGGGCAGGGTGGGCACAGCTCCAGCCTCCCAAACAGAGGCTAATCCAGATCAAGATGCACTTTGGGCTGTGGGGGCACATTTTTGGGAAGTTTTCCTATAAAAATATAGATATTCAGATGTTCCCTAAGCAGTAGGATTTCTCTAGGATCCTACAGAACATTTTAGTTCTGGCAGCAAATGGCACCTGCTTTGGCCCATTATCCCGTGGCTCCACCTTATTAATCCCCCCAGTATTTTATGGATACTTTTCCTCAAATTATGCAATAATTTGACCACATCAACTTTTATTCAGAGCTGCTCCCAAGCTGTTAATTGTTTAAATTCAATTTAACTGGAATTTTTCTGTTTCAGACCTGAGGAAAGTGTTTGTGGCCTAAACCCTCCTTTGTCTCACCCCAGCTGTGTCCGTTGGGCTAAAAAAAAAACAAAAAAAAAGAGGTTTATTTTTCTCTACAAAGTTGTTTTCTGCTCCTCAACCACAAGGCCAAGGCCCAGTGCTTTGATCATGAATAAACACGAGCTGCAAATTAGGAAATTATTAACTGCCAGAGGTCAAGATTCTGGAGGTCTTGCAAGTGAAGAGGTGGAAGGCAAGAAAAGAAATCGGGTTTAAAGGTAGAACCTGGTAAATCTGTGGGTGGGAACAGAGCAAATGAGCTTTTCCAATCTTAATTCTGGGTGATTCCACTTATTTTTTATGGTCAATATTAATGGACAATTGGTTGTTCCTAGAGAAACCACTTGTAATTACGTTTTCACCATCATTTCCGAGGTAAAATGGAAATTCCAGAGGAATTTGGAGCTTGGATTCTTGGGTTGGAGTGAGCCAGGACTCCTGGGGAAGCTGCATTTCCAGCTGGGAAAAAATCAGAAAAACTGCCCTAAAATTACCTCCCTGCTCGACATTTTGATGCCCTTTACTGCTTTTCCCTCCCATCCCTGAGTTAGGAAAGTGTCTGGGTTAAGAAACCAGATTCCAGGGATTATTTTGCCACGTTTGGAGGGGGGAAAAAAAAACCCCAGGAGGCTCCAAAGTCGTGTCGGAGTCCTGAGGGGACGCGGGGCTTTGGTCACCTCTGCTCCAGTTCTTTGCACTGGAGACCTGCTAATCCAAATATTTTTGGAACAGGCCGCCCTCAGGAGCGAAGTTTGGGATCTGCCCAGCGGGATTTGCCAAGGGGGAACACGGTTCAGGATTCCAGGTGGGGTTTTTATCCCTGGAAAAACGAGTTATGGAGAGAAACAACGGATTTCCAGTGCAGAGAGCAGATTGTGGCGGGATCTGGCTGAGTTGTTTGGGATCAGGGAATTCCAGAGCATCATCCCACTGTCTCTACAAGGAATTATAACACTCTGTTTCTTCTGAAAACAGAGGGGATGAAGGACAGGAGGCACATTTATTGTTGTGGTGTGGGTTTTGTTTTTAATCTCACATCTGCAAATCTCATTCCTGTCAAGCGCAAAACTCATTTTTCCTCGGTGTAAAATCTCCTTTTTAAACCTTTTTTGCCCCTCACTGCTTCAAATCTTATTCCTGTCAAGTGCAAACCTCATTTTTCCTCGGTGTAAAATCTCCTTTTAAAACCTTTTTTCCCCCCTCAGTGCTCCCATGGACGTTCCTGCCTTTCCCTGAGTTGGGTTTTAAGCTCCTTGCCGTGGTTTTTGCTCTCACCCCCCTCTCCCTGCTCGTGCCCCCAAACATCCCGGGAGGTGCCATTCACCCACATAGCTCAAATTCCCAAATTCCTGGCTGGCCTCAGCCCTGCTGTTCCCTTTGGAGGTGCCATGTGCCTGCTGTATTTGGAGCTCACATTCCAGCTGCCTCCTGCCTCCTTCCCTCCCAACAAACCCCCCGAGTGACACGGACGGCGACACTTCCACTCCCCAGACACCCCAAACTTCCCCCAGACCGTAAAAACACAACTTATACAAGTGGCAGATGTTCAACAGATGTTCAGAAATGCCTTTTTTGGGGTGATTTATATTTTAGGCACCTCAAACTTCCTTTTTTTGGGGGCTTGTTTATCCCCCAGCTACGTTATCTTCCCAACACTTTACTCACACAAATGCCATTCACCGCCGGGCTTGAATCAAAGACAGGGAATGTTCCCTCTCTCCACGTTATTTTTAGGATACTAATGTTTACTAAAAGGGAATATTAATCTTCTTTGTTAAAAAAGGGAGCTAAATTTAGCAGGAGGCAGTTGAAGAACCGTGGAGCCATCACTGTGTTGTTGCCCTGGGATGGTTTAGTTTCTGGGTGCCCACTGACCTTTCTGCTGCACAATGTGACTCATTCCTCCTGCAGCTTTAATTCCCAGTTTTAAATCCCTCACTAATCATAAGACATTGTTGATGGCACCAAGGTTAGGCCAAGGTTCCTCGTCAGAGGCGAGGAATGAGAGTAATTTTCACTCTGGAACTTGGAAATTTGGGGTTATTTGTTCTTTCCAGAATGTTGGGTGGCTCCTTCTCCGAGGCCTGGGGAGGTTCCCGAACCCTCCCTGGAGGAAGGTGGGTTTTGATTGGAAGGAAAAATGGGAGAACATCATGAGAGCAGCACTTTGTGAACCTCCAGCAGCTCACAGTGAGGAAAATTCAGGTAGTGGAATAAGGAAGTTAATTAATGTAATGTTGGGGTGTCCTGTGCAGGGGTGAAGTTTAACTGGATGATCCCCATGGGTTCCTTTGAACTCAGGATATTCCAAGATTCCATGAAAAGCCTGAATGAAGAACAAGAGGGTGAAGGGAATAAAAGGAGCAGATTAATCTGAAGTGAGAGGGAAGGGAAAACTGGAGCCTGAGGGCAGCCACGTGGTTAGTGAGGAATTCCAACCAGAGATGAAGGAATCCTTCTCCATTCTCAGCTCCCAAAATATCAGATTATACAGGTGTTTCACTCCCCACACTGCTCTTCCCAAACTTTTCCTCCCTGGAGCCCTTTGGAGCTGTTGATTGTGATGCTCCAAGAAAGGCCCTTCCTTCGAGTCCAGTGGAATTTTGTGTCGTGGAATTCGTGCCTAGAGAGGCAAAAATGGGTAAAATATGCAAGAAATGCCCTATTTGGGGATCTGTGTGGTGCCAGGTAACCATTGCAGTAATTCCAGGGATAAATCTTTACAAAGATGCCAGACATTTCCAGTGTCACTGGACAGCTGGAATGTGTTTGTGGATGTTGGACATTAAATTATATCGCTGTAAATTAAAGTAGCAAAGAATTAAAAGCATTTTTAAAGAGTAACAGAATACCAATTTTTTATCTCTCTGGTTTATATTCCAGGAGAGGAAATGTCTAATTTTATTCCTCACTTTTGGCCAGTGTGGGCTGTGCTGATGGATGAGAGGAGAGGGAGAAGGAAAATGAAGGAGGAGAAGGAATAAAACATGGAATAAGCACTGAAGCTTTTCCCAGCAAACACACAGGGAAGGAGCTGAGCTGGGAAATGTGTTGCCAGCATGACATGATCCATCCAACATTCCCAAATATTCCCAGATAGGTTTGACAGACTCTTCCAAACCAGCCTGAAGAGGGAACAGAGAGACAGCAGAGGGAACTTTCCCTTCTCCTGCTGTTCAAACTCCTGGTTGGAGGTTTCCCTGACCCTTGTGCCTCTGGAATTCCCAGACCACCATCCTCCCACTGCACCTGCCCCGTTGGAGACACTCCCTTGTCCCAGGGGGGAATTCCTGAGGGAAAGGATTCCAAGGAGAAACCCTTTGGGTTGTTGGAGCTCAAAAAAAAAAAAAAAGAGCCTCAAAGAGAGCAAATAATTCCTCTGGGGTTGGGGAGAGGAAAGGAAACCACAGGATTCCTGTTTCTCACCCACGGGAGGTGCATTCCTGGATAAATTATCACTTTTACGCTTTCCTACCAATTCTAAATGTTACCAATAATCTTTCTGCTCTTTTCCACATCCTTAACCCTCCTTCCCAGCTTCTTCCCCATCCTTCCTCCCTGTTTTCTGCTCCATCCCAATTCCTGCATCCCCAATCCCTGCCAGACCATCCTGGTGGATTTTTGAGGGGTGGGATCTCTCCCCAAAGAGGAGGGTTAATAAATAAATAAATAAATAAATAAATAAATATTTGGAATTTAGGGCAGGGTTCATGGTGGTAGAACCATTAATCACTAACCTTGATTTGTTTGCCTGCAGCTCCACGGACTAAAAACGATCTGAACACAATAATTCAGGGAACTGAAACATTTTGGCCTTGAAGGAACCAAAACAATGTCGAAATGGGTTGATGTGGTGCAAGAATCACCCGTAATTTCTCTTTCCTTGCCATTCCAGGTACAAAATCCTACTTTTATACCTCACATTTGGGTCTTATTCTGCCTAAAGACTTGAGTTTTCTGGGGTGGATGTTCCGTGAGGGCCTGAAAACCCACGACTGGAATGTGTTGGCTTCCTCTCCTGCTCCAAATCTCTTCTCCAAACTCGGGCTTTTCAGCAGCATTCCCTGGTTAATCTCCAGCCTGGGGTTACTCAGGGAAACCCAGAGCTTTGGAGCCCGTTGGATTGTCAAACAAAAGCTCAAACCAACAGCAAGTCCCAGGAATTCACCCAAGGTGACAAACTGAGTGATCAAAGTGTGTGTTGGGAAGGGAAGGAATGTTCCACCACTTTCCCTTTTCCGCTTGTGTTATCCCTTTGTTTCCCTCCCCTCGGGTCTGATTCTTTTTTTTTTATTTTTCATTTCATTTTTCATTTTTTCACTGATGAATCCCAAAGGATTTGTGTGTGTGTGGTGTAAAACTGGATATTCCCAGAGCAGTGGAGGGGGAGAAGCCTCACCACAGAGTGATTCATCCCCTCCCAAGGCAGGTGAAATCATCTCTTGTCATCCACTAATTTAGGCTCAGTATCTCATTTTTAGGTTGATAAAACAAGGTGGGATGGATCTCACCCCTCACATGGAGTTTAATTGTTCAGGGGGAAATTCTAATTGTCTTAAACTGGGAATCTTCGGCTCCTCTTTGTGAGGGATCAGGATCAGCCACGCTGGGAATATTCTGTGAATATTCTGTGCCATAATTAGCACATCCTTGAATAAAACTTCATTCAGGAGCCTCAGTCATTGCAAAGGGAAGAACCTGCACGTGGGAGAAGAGATTCCCACTTGGATGACAGTTTAATTCACAACTCGTGTGACAGGAGAGGTTCCAGCATTGAGGAGGTGGGAAAACACTGATTTGTCACTCACTGATTTCTCACTCCAAGTGACAAAACTGAGGTCGAAACAGAAAGGGAATTTTCTGGTTTGGAGGAAAAAAAAAAACCCACCAGGCTTTTAAAAACTATTTTTACCTCGCTATGGTGATAATTTTTCTTATATTTTTTTTTCCCCTGCCTTAAAATTAGAGCTGGTGAGGAAGCAAATGTGAGATCCAGAAAGGCAGCAGGAAATTTGGGTGGGTTTCAGGCACCAAATTAAAATTAAAAGAGTCATGAAAATTCCACGGGTGGAATGGAAAAACATCTGGAAAATTAACCTGACATTCTGCTGATCTTAATCCCAGGTGCCACCAGCCTGGATAAAAGGAATATAAATAAATATAAATATACCCTGGATCACTTGTGGAGTGGAGAGGAGTGAGGTAAGTGCCCAACTCATCCTGAAAGGCCTTCTCTGGTTCCCAGGATGATCTTCCTTGGCTTTTAAAGCCTGATGAATGTAAAGAGTGATATAAAATTGCAGCAGGATGTAAAGAAGAATATAAAATTGCAATAGGGAGACCTGTATATTCATATTTTCAATTCATTAATTGACATATGGTAATAACTTATCTAAACCCACTTAAACAGCTCTAGCACTTTCCTGTAAATACTTCATTATTTTTATAATAAAATAATTTAATATAAAATTAATATGAAATTATATTTATAAAATATAAATTATATATAGAAATATATAAATTTATATTGAATTAAAAATTTATTGGGATTTGGAGGTTTTTTCTGTTTGAGTTGGGGTTTTTTGTGTGTGCTTGGTGTTATAATTTAATTATAATTCTAATTTAATTCCCAATCACGTTCCTAATTGGATTATAAAAGCAGATGTAAAAATAAAGTGTGATTAAAAAAAAAACTTGAGTGGAGTTGATGGAAAGCCGAGGAAAGCAATTTTTCCATGACTCTTTGCTAAAGCTGAAGGAATCTGGGAAAGATCATCCTCCAGAATAGAAGTTATTTTCATACAAAACCCACTTTGAGATGTTAATTTTGCAGTGTCAGAATTTCCAGGGAGCACTTTGACTGCCTTTCTTCAAGGGAACAGCATCCAAACGAAAAAATTTCCATCATATTTTCCACATGGAGCCAAAGTCTAAATAAAAGCTACTGACAAAAAAAAACAAAAAAGAAAAAAAAAAAAGAGAGGGGGATGCAGTTTTGCTGAAGGATTAGTCTCATTTTAATTGAATATCCACAGATTTTTATGGAATAATACGAAGCAAAAAAATCTGAATTACATATTGAACAGAGATCTAGGTCTGCTACCACCAACCACCTAATTACAAACACTGTAGAAAAATGACATTTCACACGTTTTGTTTGGTTGTTTTTTCTTTTTACAGGTCGGTTTGGGTTGAAAGGGCCCACTGGAAAGGAAAAAAAAAAAACCAAAAAACAAACTGAAATTGTGGTTTCTTGTCATGGTGAGTGGGAAAATTCACTTTTACCAGTAACATGCTGCATTTCTGCCTGCCAGGAAATCAGGAAATACAAAAGAGAAAACATTTGCTTGTGTGTTTAGAGCCATTTTTCTGTCCTCTTTTCACCCCCTGGCAGGTTATTTCCACCTGCCTTTCCTTCACTCCCGTGGTTTTTAATCCCTAGAGCTCTAAAAAAAAGAATAAAAGAGGATTTGTCGCCTTTAAAACCTTTCCCACCGGGGTCTCTCATCCAGGTGTTTGCAAAATTGTCTTTGGAAAAAAAAAAAATGGGATGGAAAAAGTGCCATGAGGGAAGCTCTAAATATCCACTCACATTTACACAGTATTGTACAGAAAAACTTGGATTGGATCCAACTGGAATATACAGCAGCAGCATCCCAGTTTTAATTCCTTGTGTCTTCCTGGTGATTCGGGATGAAAAATTTCTCGGATGGTCCCAAATCTGGATGATCCTCCATGAAAAAAACAAAACAAAAACAAAAACAAAAACCCAGAGTAGTTCTGGGATCTGAGAAGTGCCTGGGACAAATCCTGTGGCAACCTGGAGGAGATGGGAAGGTAAAATTCCCAGCCTGGAATCAAGTGTAGAGGAAGAAATCTGATTTTTTTTCGGGCTGTGAGATGAAGTTGAGCCGTTAAATCCACCCCGAGGAAGAACAGAGAGATTGTTGTGAGCATAAAACAACTTCTCCTGCAGCTCAAATGTGGCTTTCCATGGATTCACCATGAGAAAAACCCCACCTCCTTAAGGTGGAATCCAAGAGCAGAAGCTGTTTCGTGCAATACACTGAATATTCAGTCCAAATATTGACCCTCCAGAAGTGGTTTTATGAGGCAGAAACGAGGCCTGGAGCACACTGGGGACACTGGCCAGTCCAGCAGGGTTGCTAAAGGGATGCAGGTGATTTAATTTTAAATTTTAAATGTATTTTTAGGTCTATACACCACTCAAAGTTATGATGTAAATGCACTTTTAGCAGCAACAATTCAGGTTTATCCACGTCCAACTGAGTTTTGTCGCTCCGTGTTTGGGAAAGGGAACCAACAACTTTCTGTGTTTCTGTCCAAGAATTTATAGCTTTTTTTTTAGGCAAGTAACACCTAAAATCAGTGTCTGAAAGAAGGGAATTATTTTTTTAAATTTGTTGCTATAAAATGCAGTTTTTACATTTAAGCTTTAATTTGTCCTTTGTGGGCTGCGGGTTCTTCTCTGTGTGGAAAAGACACATAAACATCATCCATCCATCCATCCATCCATCCAGGAACATAAAACTTTGTACACTCATAAAATCCTCTTAAAAATTAAAATACAGTGCATACCACTCCCTTAGAAAGTGCACTTCTTAAAAAAAAAAGAACTTTTAAATTGACTTTTGTGTATTGAAACAACTGATCAAGGTTGGGATCTTGAAGTGAAAATCGGTGATCTCTCCTTTCCACAGCTGAAATTCCCTTTTCCCGAAGGAACTGCTTGGAAAAAAATGGGAAGTTTCATCTTCACATTCCTCTAATTTCATTTTTTTTCTGACAATGTAGGCAGAGTGTCTTTGGAAAGAAAGAAAACAACCCAAACCCCCACATTCTTGTGGGGTGGAGGTTGCTGAGGATCCAGAGCCTTTCTGTTCCTCCAGGGGCCAAGATTGAAGGAATTGGAGGTTTTCTGATCTTCCACATCCATGTTTTCCAGAACAGCAATATTTTCCAGGAGGTTGGGAATGTTTTTAACGGATTTGATGCCCACAAAAGCTTTCTAGAGTTGGATTTTTACCCCATTATTAAATGTTTTATCCGTTTTATTCACTGTATAACTGCAAACTTCCCTTGCAGGGCCCGACTGCACCGTGTCCTCTGTGGAAAGCTGATGATTTTTTTTCTGTGGAAAGCTGATGATTTTTTTTTTCTTTGTTTAAATACATAAAAAAAGTCTCAAAAAGAAAAGAGGAAAACCTAATTTAAGTGTTCTCAGTCGGGAGACGGTGAATTCTCAGAGACCACGAGGAGATTTGTGATTGTTCCTAATTGGGAGCTCAAATTAATTGACTCAAGAAAAGTCCTTTCCTTAGTTTCAGTGGGTTGCTCAGCCCCTCTGCTGACAGACCCAGCTCTGCAGATGGGAATTCTATTTGGGAATTCCATTTGGGAATTCCATTTGGGAATTCCTGGCTGCTGCTGCTTCTACCTCCAGACAGTTCCCTGTGGAACTTCAGCAGGGAGATGTCACTTGGCAGAACCCAAAAAAAACCCTGAAGGGCTGGGTTTTGGGGGGGTTTTTTTGTGCCCAGAATTCACTTTATAGAATCCCAGGATGGGTTTGGGTTGGGAGGGACCTTAAAGCTCATCCAGTTCCATGAAAAGGTTGCTCCAACCTGACCTTGAAATCCTTTGTCGATAATAATAATAATAATGATAAATAAATTTATAATGATGTTTCCAGAAAGCTGTGGAGCTCGATGCTTGTTTGGTGCTTGTTATTAACATGCCAGTGAGGTGGAATGGGGAGGTTTTTTGCCATCTTCACCCATCCTGGGGGGATGCTGTGGGTGCTCTGCTTTTCATGCAAAGGTCTGGTCAGCAAATACATCCACGACTGAAGTGCATGAGGATGGGTCTCAAAGGAGAACTAACCTTAAGAAGTACATATTTGGTGCTTCTTTGTAGCATTCAGGGAAATAAAGATCTCACCCGTGGTGGTTTTAGTCACTAAAAGGAAAAAAAAAAGAGCAGCTTTGTGTATCCAGAGGGATCCGTCCCTGTCTTGAGGGAAATCTTGCTCAGCCAGAATTCTCCTGGAAATATTCTTTAAGTGGTGAAACAGGCAGGTGATTCTCCATCTGCAGGTGTCTGGGAGGGGTTTTACCTGATCCCAGAATCCCAGAATGGTTTGGGTTGGAAGGGACCTTAAACTCATCCAGTCCCACCCCCTGCCACGGGCAGGGACACCTCCCACTATCCCAGGTTGCTCCAACCTGGCTTTGGACACTTCCAGGGATGGGGATGTAACCTGGGGCTGGTGGAGTAACTTCCAAATCATTTTGGCCAGAGGGTTGTTCCTTAATTTACTTTTCCCCCCTTTCCTTTGCTCACAGGATCCTCACGAGTTCCCAGATCCAAATTTCCAGAGGCAACGTCACACCGGAAGCTGAACCCAGCCCCGTGCCCTGCGTTCTCCAGGGGAGGGGATATTCCAGGCAGGAAAGCTGATGGATGAGGGCCCTCAGGAGGAAAACTTCCAACATTTTAGCAGCTTGTCTCCTCAGTGGGAGGTATTTGACAGGGAGTGATTGTCCAGGGCTGTGACATCGAGATGAAGACGAGGCGTGGAAACCGTTCCCGTCCGCGGGGCTACTCCCGAACCCAGACCTTTTTTGGGATGTGCGTGGAGAAGATGCTCCCAGGAAGGTTCTGTGGAGGCTGCCATTCCAGGGGGGACTCCTTCAGAGCTCCCAGAGTGCCTTACACACCGGAATGGAACAAATCAGGGAAAAAAAAACCCCAAAACGTGGCATTTCCTCACGGGAACGAGGATTGAGGAGCTGGCAATGACTTCACTGAGACAGCCAAGGCTGGAAGTGCTGCTGAGGCCGTTGGGCACTTGGTATTTTCAGGAAGAAACACACACTGGCTATAAAAAGGAGGGAAAAGCTCTTTTCATTGCCTGTATTAGTTATTCCCTGGGCTCTCGGGCTGTTGTGGAGGAACCTGGGGGTGCAGCTTTAAAGCAAAAACGTCTCCGCGCTGGCCAGCAGCGAGTTCAGGTGGGTTTATAATTTAAACAACAAAATAAATCTCTTTCTGGGCTGGGGACTAATGGGTTAGAGGATGCTCTTAACTTACTACAAGGTGTGTATTTGCACTGTGTCACAGCTCTCCACAGACCTTTCCAGAAACACGCCAGAACCTGTCCTGAAAAGTGCTTTTCTTGGCCTGCTTTGTTTTGTGGGGTTTGGTTTTGTTTGTTTGTTTGTTGTTGTTGTTCTTTTTTTTTTTTTAAGGTAAAATCTTTCCAAAAAGGTTAAAGAACTTTGCATCTTGGAGATAGAGGAGGCAGGCTCCGGGATCTTACAGGACTTGGAATAAGATGGTGACAAGGTCTTGTCCCAAAAGGTCATTGCCATGGGTGGCTGCCAGGCTGTGTCCTTCCACTCCATCCATCCACCTCCTGCTTCCATTCAGGACATACTGGGAAGGAACAGAGAGAGAGACAGGAGTTATTTTTAGGCAGCAAACTGAGGTAAAAATTTTTTATTATTCCCACCACATCAAAATTAGGGTAAATTTGGGTGTAATCATTTACAAAACTGTCCTGGGGACAAATATGATACAATTCGTGGCTTTAACGGGCAGAGGGGCCCGTTGGGTGCCCAGAAGTGGCACCAGGGGGATGGATCCTGAGTCTAACTCAGGCTGGGCTTTCTTGTTCATGGATTACAAATGCCATGAAATCTGTCCTGGAGACAAACAAAGGAAGGGGGAGGTCCAGCTCAAACCTGGTTTCTTGATCCTCTCCTGGAGGCACAGGCCTGCTGGGAAGAGAACCAGCACAACAGTGAGTGAATCTCCACCACAAACCAGTGCCCCTCTCTTTGCCCTGAACTCCTTTTATTTCTCAGAACAATTCAGTGATCAAAACTCCTTTTTCTCTGGGAAAACAGCAGAAATATTCCCTGTTCCCCCCTCAGGAGAGTCAGACAGAATGAAAAGAGAGGCTGCATCGCTCTGAAGCAGAGCCAAAACCAGGCCAAATTCTCCTGGTGTAGGATTTTGGCGCTGCCCTTCCAAACCCCTCTAGAATTTTCTTTCCCATCTCAAGTTACGGCCTCGGGTTTGCTCCCTGTGCCCACAGGGAAACGTGTCCAGCAGCAGCAGCAGCAGCAGCAGCAGCATTTGAACCCTCTGCATTGCTGCACCCTGCAAATGCTGCCCCTGAATGTCAGGAGAGCATTCCCAGGGCCTCTGGCTCAGCTCTGGGATCACTCCCTGCACGGAGCAGGGGCAGGAATCCGCTGGCAGAGGGGAAGGTCGGGGACACCTCAGCACTGGTGGCACCCGGAGCTGCCCGGGGAGAGGAGAGGCTTTATCAGCTCCTGAACACTTTGGGAATGTCCTGTTGGATCCAACCATCCCCTGGGGGTGTTCCCAATCCGTGGGGCTGTTCCCACCCCCAAACACTGAGGGATAAATCAAACAGGGTCGTTACCTTTCCCTCTCAGCCATGTCTTGTTTCTCTTCTGCCCTGTAAACACAAATCACGTTTGGAATCAACGCCCTGAGGTGAACAGTGGGAAGGAAGGGGAGAATCCAGGGCCCTTCTGGGGTGATGGGTGGACCTTGGAGAGGTCAGCAGTGGTCTCCAGTCCCTGGGACCCCCGGCCCTGGTGACCCTCGTGCTCCAGGAGCTGGGCTGGACAACTCAATCCTCCCAAACTGGCATCTCCCACTCAGGCACCAGCACCAGGAGGGGTTGTGGCACCTGTGCTGACCCAGGGGGTCTTTCCTCTCTCCTTCCCTGCCTCTTGTTTTCCCTGGAGTCATCCCTGCTCACAGCCAGCCCTCCCACCAGCATTTCTGACCCAAAGCACCGGGGAGGGAGCAGCTCTGGAAAATGAGACCAAATAAACTGCACAAACTGAAGTCCCTCTTCATGCCACTCCACAGGGATGAAGTGGCTTTTAAAACAAGCACAAGGGCTCACTTTAGGGTCAGTTTGCTGCTCAAATAGGGATAATGTGCCTGTTTTATACAGAGAGTGGTGTCTGATGACCTTTGGGAGCACAGACAGTGTGTGATGAGGTTCTGTGGATAAATAGCCTTCTAATCTATGGATAAATAATAACCTTTTAATCAAGCTTCTCCCTCCTCCAGCTTTTACTGACTCAGAGAAAATCAGTGCAGGATCTTGGGGTGGGAGGAACGTGGAATTTACTGGTTATAACACAAATAGTGATGGGAGAAAGCAACAACACCCCAAGAAAATGAACCCACTCTCCACCCTCCCCCCCCTAAAAATTAATTTTACCTTTCTTTTCTGGCCTTGATCCTCTCTTCCTCATATCTGCAAGAAAGAGGAAATGTTCTTTAAGTGGAAATTGTTCACTCTTAGTAAATTCAATGTTTGCTCTGAAGGTGACAGGAGCTCTGTGCTGGCACAGTGTGAGACACGAGTAAGGCAAGGTTTGCCCCAGGCAAATCCGTGGATTTTGACTCAGCACAAGGTGGGATGTCTGTCCTGCCCCTCCCCAGAGCTGCCCCAGGGCCCCTCTGGCACTCACTGTAGGACACAGTCTGGGATCTGCACGTGCTCCATGGGGATGAGCTGCTCCAGCTCCTCCAGGGTGTGGACGTACTGGATCTTATTGATGAACTTCACACTGGCAGGGAGAGAGAAACAGTGCACCAAGGAGGCCTTGGGGTGATGTTCCCTCCACAGGAAGTCAGGGTTTTCCTGATGGAAACTCTGCATGTCTGTGCCCACCTCCCCCCTAAAAGCCAGGGGGGGAGTCTAAAAGCTGTGGTGAGACCCTACGTTACTGCTCCTCCCCATATCTGCAGGAGGCCAAAAGGACACCATTCCCTCACTTCCCAGCAAATCCTCATGCCCTACCCACTGGGACAAACTCTGCTCTGGGTCCAGACCACCCCAGTGTCTCCCAAAACCACCTCTGGAGTCGTCCTTGGAAGTGTCAGAGAGAAGAAGGACAAGGGACAAACAGCCTCACCTTGGTTGCTCCTGGCCTAATGATGAGCTTAAAATCTGATTTGTGAGATTAAAGCCAGGGGAACATCATGAAGCTGTGTCAGGGGGGATTTAGGATGGATCTCAGGGAAAGGTTCTTCCTCCCCAGAGGGTGGTTGGGCACTGCCCAGGCTCCCCAGGGTTTGGTCACAGTCCCAAAGCTGCCAGAGCTCCAGGAGGGTTTGGACAACGCTCTGAGGGACAGGGTGGGATTGTTGGGGTGTCTGTGCAGGGCCAGGAGTTGAACTAATGATCCTTGTGGCACCCTCTCAACTCAGAATATTCCAGGATCCCGTGATTCCAGACTTCCACTCCAAACCCAGCCGAGCCTGGGAATGTTCTGCTCACCTGATGAAGGGTCTGGATATCGCCAGCACCGTCCGGATGAACCACGACGGGTGCACGATGATCAGGGCTTTGAGGTTTTTACGGAGCCTGGGAAAGAGTCAAGGCACAGAAGTCAAATCCAGGGGACATTCCCTAAATTCCCCATGCCCTTTAGGAAGCCCCAGCCCGGCTCAGAGGCTGCAGGACACTGCTCTGCTCAGGGGCTGTGCCAACCTGAGCTCTGCCAAGGGGCTCATGAGGGAGGAGGAGAGCCTGGAGGAAGTCAGAAATTTGGGATAGAGGAAGGAATTACAGACTCTGGGCAGTGAGAAAGGAGGAGGGTTGGCAGGGAGCGCTGTGAGGAAGAGATGGGAGGGTGGGGAGGCCCTGGCACAGGTTGCCCAGAGAAGCTGTGGCTGCCCCTGGATCCCTGGAAGTGTCCAAGGCCAGGTTGGAGCACCCTGGGATAATGGAAGGTGTCCCTGCCCATGGAGGGGGTGGAACTGGATGGGCTTTAAGGTCCTTCCAACCCAACCCATTCTGGGATTCTGTGTGGTGGGGAGAGGCCTGGGAAGAAAGAAGAGGCCACCCCAGCAGGGTTCCCACCTTCTGTCGATCATCTGGTAGCATTTCTTGAGCCAGCCCAGGCCCGGCATCCTCCGCCGCGGCGTCGCCCCATTCAGGTACACGATCATGTAATCCTCAGCCACCAGCAGCTCCAGGCTGCTGATCACGTACCTGTTGGGTGAGCAAAAGGGACAAGAGACTGGAAAATCCACCCTGGAGCTTTCCCCAAGTGTTTTACCCCAAAATGCCTCCAAGACTCTTTCTTTGCAGGCCTTGGAAGAGGTTTGGATTCTCCCGGCGCCTCCGGGGACTGCCCAGGGATGTGTCAGTGCAGTTCAGGCTCTGATGGACACCCCAGCTCTGTTCTCTCCCAGCTGCTGAGCATCCCACACGTGCTCCAGCCTGGATGTGAGTCCATCACTGGCATCATTAACCCGGAATGTTTGAATGCTTTGACTTGTTGGACTCGGAGTCGGGGCCAGCGACGCTCGCCCCGATCTGCAGCTGCACACTGAGGATGTTTGGCCTGGATTCAGACCATTCCCAGCTGATGTTCCTGATGTAATGAGTGCAGGGAAACCCTGGAGATGCTTCCCTCACCCTCCTCTCCCTTCCCAGGCACTTACAGGAAGAGGTTTTCCATGATGTAGTGGTAATCAGCCAGGTTGCTGTCGGGGAGGTAACAGGCAGCAAAGACAATGATGGCATTGAGACCTTCTCCGTAGTATCCTGGGAAAGAAAAACACAGGCAACACCATGAGGTTTTCCAGGGAAAGATTTAAGAGCTGAGGATGAAACAGCAGGAAGTTGTGTTGTCAAATTCGGGCCCGGGGCGGTTTTTGTGTCTCTGTCCAGCTCCAGGTGAGTTTTGTCCCTCTTTGGACCTCCTTCACCAGGAGGTTTCCTCCTGGTTTGGGCTGTAACATGTGTTTGGTGTTCAGGGAAGGAATTTGGGGGTTTCAGAGCTGGGTTGTTCCTTGGCTTTGCTTGGATTTTGGAAAGAGCACCGACTGTGGATGTGTCAACCTTTGCTGTCCCTCTGGAGCAGCTCAGGCACCAAGCTGGAGGAGTTCAACCCCCCCAGGCCCTTCATCACTGCCCACACCAGGCCTGAGGGTTGGGAACAGTCCCTCTCTCTGTTAATTCAAACCCCACTGCAGTGACTACATTTTTAGACCCTTTTTAGAGCAGTTTTTAGCACGATCCGGGCGCTTTTTGCTTCTTGCCTTGTAACTTCACAAAACAAACAGTAAAATTTCCTATAAACAGGAACCAAACAGTCCTGGAATCCTTGACAGAGACCTCCCTGAGGCAGGACCTCTCTCACCTCCGTGTGTCACCACTCTCATGTAGGGTTTGATCATCTGGAGGTCGATCCTGTGCTCCTGCTCCCCGATGATGACGGTCCTCCAGAGCCGCCCGTTGGTGGCACTGCCATCCTCTGTCCCCCCGTCCCCAAACAGGTCTGCACTGTCCCCAGGCATGTTCTTGGCCGTGGCTACGGGAGTGTCATCTGGAAAAGGGACAGATCTGCCTTTAATCTAATGCAGGAAGAGGTTTTGGAGACAAGAACCCCGGAAATGGTGCTGGGATTGTGATCCACCCACAGCTTTGATCTGTGCAAGTTTATGGTGCTTAATAATCCTGCTCTGTTGCCAAAATATTACACAAATAAGCTTAAAATCTCCTTTTCCTTGTCAACCCTCCACTACTGATGGTGAATTGTGTCAGAAGTCATTAAAATGAGGCTAAAAAACCACCCCAACCCTGCAAAACTCACCCAGAACCAGCCCTTTTACCTTCCCATTCCAGTTCGTTCCCGTTGCCCAGGAATTCGAGGGAATCTGTCTCATCAGGTGTTTCAATATCATCCACATTAATATCCAGGTCATCTGGAGTGTCCAGGAAGTCATCAGAGAGGATGGAGCCTTCACTCTGGTCCAGGGAAATGTTGATTTCAGGTGCAACAAGTGTCTTCCGCTTACGATGCGCCCCGTTAAAATTTAAAGTATTGGGGGGAGCTGGAGTTAAAAGGAAAACAACTGACAGGTTGTCCTGGTCTTGTATCCTTCTTGCTTCCTCATGGATATCCCAGGTTCTGGGCTGGGTGGTGGATCAGGGGACTGGGAGGCACTGGGAGTGGCTGGATGGAAGTGCCCGTGGGAGATCCCTATTTCTTGGGAGATCCCTATTTCTTGGGAGATCCCTATTTCTTGGGAGATCCCTATTTCCTCCCCCAGGAGATTCAATTAGGAGATTCAAATCTCTGCTTGCTTTCTTTTCCTCCCCCCCCACAGGAATTTTTGTGGCTAATCCAAGGGAAGTGGCTCTCTCCCTGCCTGCAAGCTGCCATTCCCCTTTGGATGGTGGAGGAGGCAGGGTGGTACTTACAGGATGTGTTCTCGTCTTCCGTGGGGCTTCCCAGTGACTCCATCCCTGTCTCTTCTGGGAGAGGTCTGCAGGATGTGGAGGGAAAACACAGGAGAGAGCAGGTGATGTTTAGGAAAAAATCCCTTCATGGCAGACAGAGGAGAGAATGGGGACAGCAGGGAAGGACACACAACCCCACATGTGCTCTGCCCCTTCCCTTTTCCCAGTAAACTCAAGCTGAGGGATTCCCTCAGGGAATTTGCCCTCCTGGAGCGCTGTGCAATCCCTAGTAACCTCCAAACTATCCCTGCATTTACACCCTCATCCAGCCAAGAGGCTGGAAAATCCAGCCAGGGACACGGGAACAAATCCTGACCCCGGAAGAGCCTGGTAACATCCTCATTCTCCATATTATCCCCATTTTTTATTCTGTAGGAATTCAGAGGATCCCAGCCCAGCAAAACTTCCTCCAAACCTGGGAAGCAGCTGCTCCTTGGAGGTGGCTTTGCCGGGGGGCAGCTGATGTTCAAGGCAAGGACCAAACCCCGGGTGTGACCCCGAATTGTCACCCCCACCCTCACCTCAGCCCCCATTTGGTGCCTCCCAACCCCTGGCTGAGCTCTGGAAGCGGGTTCATTCCATGCCAACACCCAGACACCAGCATTCCAACCCTTATTTTGGAGCCAGAGGCTGACCCACCACTCCCTTTCCTGCTCAGAATTTGGGATGTGCAGCCCCTCGTGCCCCCTCCTGGTCCAAAGCACTGTCCCTCCAGCCATGGGCCAAAGCCATCCAGGGATTTATAGGTCGATTTTCCTGGACAGATGCTAAAGTCAAACCACAGCACGTGGCTGTGACCCTTTGGAAGCTGCTGGAGTTGCTCCTGACCCATCCTGGGGTGAGTGAAGCTGGAATTTGGCCCCAGTGCTACAGTGCTGGTGGCTGAGCCTCAGGCTGCCCACCCTGAGCTGGGCACTTCCCAGATGCTTTTCCCCTTAATTTGAGCTGGGATTCATGCCTGTCCCTGGCATGAGCTGGGTTTGACACTCCTGGACCAAACCCCACCAACCCCCCGTGACAAATTCGTGTGGTCAAATCTCATTTCTGGAAGCTCCCCCTCCCCAGGGGGGGAAGGGCTCGTGCCTCCAGCTGGAAAATCCCGGTGCTGGGACAGCCCTGGGATATAACAGGGGGTGAATCCAGGAGTTTTAAGGATGAGGATGGGCCTGTGAGGAGGCTGGTCCTGCAGCTGCTGCTCCAGCGACACAGAGAGGGAGGTGACGGAGGCAGGACCCAGCCCAGCTCTGCCCTGCAAAGGCTCCTCTTCCCGCTGCCATGACACCAGAGCCACCCGCCAAATTAAACCCTATAAATATGTAGATTAAGGGATAATCCTCTGCTCCCTGGTTATTGTATATTTATGAGAGCTGAGGACCTGATCCCGGGCACGTGCTCCTTGTGCAGCGCCCGGAGCCACGATATTCCCGAGGAGTCGGGAAGACCCCTGGGCCCCCTCCAGCTCCTCCTCCCCCCTTCTGCTTTTGTTCCCACCCAGGCCTGGCTGGTTGTTTATCCATCGGGAGCACAATTTGGTGACACAGCATCCGAATGGGAAGGGGAGGGAAGGGGGGGCAGCTCTTCCCGAGTACGTGCTGCAGCCCGGCAGCTGCTCCCTCATCCCGGGATTCGTGTCAGGACAGCGATTCCAAAGCCAGAGGGCAAGAAAAAGCCCTTCCTTACCTTCCCAAAGGCTGCTCCGATCGCTCCCTCCCGCGTCAATCCTCCTTCCCCAAAAGCGCTCAGCCCCAGATCCCGAGATTCCCGGAGCGCAGCAGTTTTCCTAAGGGTTGGGTGCCACCATTTTGCTCCCTTGCCGGTCCCTGCTTCCCTCTCCCAGCCCCTTTTCCAGGGACCCGAGCGGTCCCCGATCCGGGATCGGCGGGATGCGGGATGCAGGGAGCGGGCCCGCCGGGCTCGGCGGGATGCGGGATGCAGTGAGCATGCTCCCGATCCCAGCCTACGGCATCAGCCCCGCGCTCCAGCCGAGACACAACGTCTGGAATAAACCTTCCCGGAGCGGCAGGAGGGAGGATCCTCCTTCCCCTCCCCGCTCCCTTAGGGCCGTGACATCCCACCTGCCGCGCAGGAGCTGCTCCTGCTGCGGCTCAGCTTTTCGGGAAGGGATGGGAATGTTTCTGCTGAATCCCAGATCCTTGTCTAGGATGTGGTTTTTCCTTTTTTTTTTGGTCTTTTTTTTTTTTTCCCGTGGCAAGATTGGCTAATCCCAGGCAGGCAAAAATAGCTCTGCAGCAAATCAGCTGCTGGAGAGCTGCTGTCCCACATGCAGCAGCTTCTGCCCTATTATTTCGCTGCTTCCAGGGCTGGAAAATGGTAATTTATTTATTTTCATGCCGACTGGAACCCAGCTGGCCTTCCCTCGTTTGCCAAGGGGCTGTTCAGGCTTTGTCTCACTTGCATCATTCCCGATTTAATCCCTCTGCAGCAGCCTGGGGAGCGCAGCCCCAGCGCTCCGGCCTCGTCCCTGTTCCCTGCCCTGCTGCCCACATCCCTTTGCCTCTTCCCAGGTTTCATTCCCAAGGCAGGAGCGATGTGTGGTGCTGAGGGCTCTGCAGGAGCAATGCCTCTGGAAGGCTTGGCTGGCTGTGGGAAGTTTGTTGCTGGCACGGGAAGTGCGGGACGGAGCTCGGAGAGGACGGTCGGGTTGGTGCCGGGCTGGCCAGGAGCTCCACCAGCTTTATCCCAGATTCCCTAGGAAGCTTTGGATCAATGTTTTCCTTCCTGTGCCTCACTTTCTATATTTTTCTGAGCAACCTGGGCTAGTGGAAGGTGTCCCTGGCCCACGGCAGGGGGTGGAATGAGATGAGCTTTAAGGTCCCTTCCAACCCAAACCATTCCGTGATTCCTATTTAAACCTCCATTTCCTTTCTATACCTCTCTCTCTCTCCTTTCTACTCCATTAAAACCCTGTTGGCACAGCACTCCAGGGGAGCCTGAGGCTGGCAAAGATCCACCAGCCCAAAGCTCTGCTCTGGGAGGGAAATCAAATCCCTCCTGGAAACCCGAGGGCTTGGCTGAGCCCACCCTGGGGGCCAGCGGAAGGACAAGATGTGTCCTGTGGGCTGGGAGACAGAGGGGCTTAGAAGAAGGATGCAGCTGGAGCTGGGATGAACAGAGCCAGGCTCATCCAAGTGCTGGGATGAACAGAGCCAGGTTCATCCCAGGGCTGGGAAGAACAGGAGCCCCTTTCTTGGCGGGCAGGGGCCGTACGTGCCCACGGCACACACGGCACAGTGTCTGGGAATACTGGGGCTCTGTGGGGTTTGGATGCAGCTGGAGCAGGGTGGGACAGCCCTGGAAGCCCCTCGGGGCTGCAGGAAGGGCTGGGAAGGGCTCTGTGTGCCCAGAGGGATTTAGAGCTGGATCCCAGAGTAGCTGGGGTTGGAAGGGACCTCTGGAGATCACCCAGTCCGACTGCCCTCCCCAGGGAGGGTCACTAAGGCAGGTGACATTCCAGGTGGGTTTGGAATGTCTCCAGAGAGGGAGACTCCA